GACGGCCGGCGGGGGAGCCCAGGGAGCCGGGCAGCGGCCCCGGGCGGCGGCGGGGAGCGGGAAGGCTCGGGCTGGGGGGAAAGGTCGGATTTGCTGGGCGGAAGAAACACAGATGGCGGCGGCGAGGCGCCATTCCGGGCCGGGAGCAGGCAGCCAGCAGCCCTGTCCTCACCGCGGTCCGCCCGCCGCCGCTAAATACCCGGATGCGCCGCCCGAGCGCCAGACGCGGAGCTGGGAAAAGGGAGGCAGAGGAGGCGGAGGCGGAGGCAGAGCCAGGCGCCGAGAGCGACCGACAGACCGGCGGGGCCGGGCCACGCCGAGCCGGCCCAGCGAGTCTTCCCGCGACCCGAGCCAGGTCCCCGCGGGCCGCGCTGCGGACTGGCCTGGGCGTCAGGGGCGCGAGAGCAGGTTCTGAGGCGGGCTTCCCTCGGCCTCCGGCGAGGGCTGGCCTTTTTGAAGGCGCCTTCTTTAACAGCAGGACTAGGCAGGCCACCATGACCGAGAACTCCACGTCCACTCCTGCGGCCAAGCCCAAGCGGGCCAAGGCCTCCAAGAAGTCCACGGACCACCCCAAGTATTCAGATATGATCGTGGCTGCCATTCAGGCGGAGAAGAATCGCGCGGGCTCCTCGCGCCAGTCCATCCAGAAATACATCAAGAGCCACTACAAGGTGGGTGAGAACGCCGACTCGCAGATCAAGTTGTCCATCAAGCGCCTGGTCACTACCGGGGTCCTCAAGCAGACCAAAGGGGTGGGTGCCTCGGGGTCCTTCCGGCTGGCCAAGAGCGACGAGCCCAAGAGGTCCGTGGCCTTCAAGAAGACAAAGAAGGAAGTCAAGAAGGTGGCCACGCCAAAGAAGGTAGCCAAGCCCAAAAAGGCTGCTTCCAAAGCCCCAAGCAAGAAGCCCAAAGCCACCCCAGTCAAGAAGGCCAAGAAGAAACCGGCTGCCACGCCCAAGAAAACCAAAAAACCCAAGACTGTCAAAGCCAAGCCAGTCAAGGCATCCAAGCCTAAGAAGGCCAAACCAGTGAAGCCCAAAGCCAAGTCCAGTGCCAAGAGGGCCAGCAAGAAGAAGTGACAATGAGGCTTTTCTTGTGGACACTCCTGCCTGTCTCCTATTTTCTGTAAATACTTTTCTCCTTTTCTCTCCCTTGATTTTCGTCTGCAACCCTTTGCCCCGTTCTATTCTTACTTTATAAGAGACAATTTGGATTCCTCCGAAATTAGGGAATAGTTCATTTTTCCTTTGAACCAGTCATGCAAGGACAGCAACAACAAATCTCATCTCTGTAATGATGAGAATGTACCTATGTTCTGTTTTGTTAATTTGCTATTAATCTACTTATGGGTTTAGGGATTTGGGGGGGGGTTGTGTGTTTTGGATGGTTGGTTTGCTAGGAAGGTAAAAATGGGAGGAGAAGGAGCAAAGCAACTCGTTCTGCTAGATGAGAGGGAGCCCAGGAATTGTTCAGGTTTGTAGGAGTATCTTTAAGGCCAGCGAGCTTGCTTTAAGTTGAGCACTCCTTGTGAGTTTCAGAACCTTGGTGGAGAGGAGAGAGGTGGCAGCAGCTGGATGGCAAAGGAGGGAGATGGAAGTCAGCCCATAGAGAGTTTTTTCCACTCCCAATGGTGGGCAGTAGGGGGTCCAAATCCAGTCGCCTTCTCACCTCTGTTAGTCTGCCCCTGTGGCCTCCCTATTGTCCTAAGGAAGGGGAAGGGGGGTGGAAGTGACAGCTGGTCCAGGAAGCAGTGACTTCTCTCAGTCAGTTAGAAACTAGCCATTGGGGGTCTTTGTGATTTGGAAAAGTCTCATGATAAACGGGGCTGGAAATTTTGGGGGAAGGGTGGGGAGTCAGTCAAGTGCCTCAGTGTACCCTGTTGAAACTTGGGTTTTTCCACACAATTGGATTGTATCCTAGGAGGACTTTTTTTCTTTTCCCCTGGCTTTTTGTTCCTCCAGTACAAGAGGTGGCTTTGCTTGGCGGTCTGGCGGAGTCCAGCCCAGCCACCTGCCACTTAAAAACCTCCCAGACCTCTTTACTTCTGAGTCTTTTATAAGTAGTTGTAGATGGGGGAGGGGTAGTGGGCGGGGAGTGGACAGTCAGACATACCGCAGTCGATTTTGAATTGCTAAGTAGTTTTACAGAGCTAGGTCTGTGTGTGTGTGTATATGTATATATGCATATCTAGGGCTAGTACTTAGTTTCACACCCGGGAGCTGGGAGAAAAAATCTGTACAGTCGTCTCTTATTTTTAATAAAATAGTAAAGCGCGCGGTTACGCGTCATCCCCCCACCCCACCTTTGTTTTGTTTTGTTTTGTTTTTAACAAGTGATATTTGTGCCGGGAAGAATTCGCTGTCTTTGTAATTTTAAAACTTTAAAATAAAATTGAAAAAGGAAAAAACTTGAGCGGTGTATTCTTCGTCGCTTCTAAGACTGGAGGAGGAGAATGCAGAGCGATTGGGCGGGCGAGCAGTGGGGGAAATCGGGGGCCGTTTGCATCTGAGAATGGGGGAGCGTTCCAAGAGCTCGACTGAACCCGGGAAACGTCAGGGCTGGAGGTAGGTACAGAACGTGCCTCGGCCGGCTTCTAGGCTCCTGCCTTAAAGGGTCCAGAGGGCACCCCCTTCCGAGAGGTGGGTGTGCAGGCAGGGGATAGGAATGGGGTGGGGGTCTGGTGGGCTGGGCCCGGGCGTACCTTCCTCCGCCCCGTCGCCTCCCCTCCCCCCACGCGGACCGCTCCGGTCTCAACTTACAAATCAATCCACTTTGGTCCTCTGCGGATCCCGCCAGGCCCCGCCCGCCCGGCCCTGGGCCCGCCTCCCCTGCCTCTTTAGCGGCCCCTCTCGCTCCGATTGGCTGCCGGGGCCCGGCCCCCGGCCACCTGACCAGGCCGCGGCCGCGGCGCGCACGGCCCCGGAGCGGGCAGGCGCGCTCGGGCGAGTTGAGCGCGATGTGGGCCGGCCGCGTCCTCCACGCGGCGCTCTCCGGGGGCCCCCGCGGCCGCCGCGCGCAGTCAGCGCTGGCCCAGCTGCGTGGCATCCTGGAGGAGGAGCTGGAAGGGATCCGCGAGGCTGGCACCTGGAAGAGCGAGCGAGTCATCACATCCCGTCAGGGACCGCGCATCCACGTGGACGGCGTCTCCGGAGGTAACTCCCCCTCCTGGGAGTCGTCGGACCTGGCCGGTCGGAGGTTTGCGCCGGAATGGAGGCCCTGCAGGCAGTAGGCGGGTGGGAGCACCTGCATGCTTAGCCACTGGCCCCTTTCCCATCTATCAGGCCGACTTTATGGCTTCCCAGTGTTAACTCTGACCTGGTTAAACCCGTTTCCACAGAGGGAGGTCAGTTGCCCTTGACCACCCTGTTGGCTCAGAGGGCGGGGCTGGACCGAGACCCAGCCGTGTGAGACGTGAGAGAAAAAGAAAGACACCAGCTAGCTCCCACCGCGCTGCTTCAAGGAAGGCTGGTGGGAAGGCAGCAGCAAGAGACCCTGCATTTCTGGAGCGGCTGCTGTGTGCGGGCGTCTGCTAATTGCAGCACGTGGACGCCCCCAAACCCCCACAGCTGGGAATGACTAATCCCATTTCCCAAACGGAGCAGCTGAAGCTCAGAGATGTGAATGAGGTGGCTTGCCCAAAAGCCCCCAGCTAGCTGCAGGCAGAGCTGGACTTTGGTCTAAGTCCTCTGGTATATCGGAGCTGGAAGGTCAGCTCACTGGCCGCAGTCACAGTGAACCCGGCTCAAGGGCTGCTGCAGCAGTTGCACCATGAATTGGCCCTCCAGGCCTCTTTCATTTCTTTCCAACCACTGGTCACTGCCTGTCTTGTCTGTGCCAGGTCCCAGGTGGGTGCTGATTGTAACCAGGCCCCCAAACCTGCCTCCTGCCCGGGAAATAGGCATGGAATCCTTGGTGCTGTTGTACTAATTTGTAAAATGGAGATCCCAGGAAATCCCTGCCTTCTTCCAGGGGAAGCTTGGAGCAGGTCAAAAGATGGGAAATTAGGAGACTCAGCTTCTCGTCCTGTTTTTGCCTCTCCCAGGCTGAGTGAACCTTGCCCTTCTCGGGTCACCTGTGTTCACTTGGGGCTTTATAAGTCAGGGGTCGGGGCCGCAGAGGCATCCCCTTTGGGCATTCGATTCTGTACCAGGCAGCAAAGTCACCTGTGTGGAGTTTGAGGCGGGCATCTCACCCGGCCCTCTTTTACCCTGGAGGAAACCAAGGCCCAGATGAGAGGTTGCGGGTGGTCTTCAGGGATGGGAGAAGCCTGTGAGGCAGGACTGAGTTCTCCCAGGGTAGAATGTGATTCAAAGCCAGAGTTTAAATGTCTCATCCTTCAAGGCACCGCTCCGAGTCCTTTCCTGACCCTCTCTGAGGGTGATCATACTGTGTGGTTGTCACCTCCTCAGGGGTGAATCCAGGTTCATCTCCTTTCTGAGACCCCAGGGCCTGGCACTGACACCTTTCCAAGCCCTTGCTTGCCCTGAGCTGCTGTGTCTGTCCCCTCTCCTCCACCTCAGGAATCCTTAACTTCTGTGCCAACAACTACTTGGGCCTGAGTAGCCACCCCAAGGTGATCCGGGCAGGTCTGCAGGCCCTGGAGGAGTTCGGAGCTGGCCTTAGCTCTGTCCGCTTCATCTGTGGGACCCAGGTACACAGCGGGTGTTGGGGGTGGGGGTTGGGAGGGATTGTCCCCAGCACTGGGCACTGACCCCAGCTGTCTGCTTCCCACAGTCAGCAGGGCTGGTTTAGCCAGCTAGCTCAACCCAGGGCCCTAGGCCCATTCTTAGCCCCAGAGCTGTCCGCTGGAAAGTCTGGGTTCAGGCTTTTGTTTTGCTGTGAAGCCTTGGACAAAAAACTTAACCTCTCTGAGCATCCATTTCCCTACCTGCAGAACAAAACTCCGCACACCTGTTCCCCTTTGGGAAGGGAAGAGTAGAAGGCAGGGATTGAGATGGAGGGTTCTGGAGCTATTCTGCCTGAGTTCAGTTCCCAGCACCACCATTTATTGGTTCTATTGCTAAAGGCAAGTGTCTTAATCTCTCTGTGCCTCAGTCTCTTCATTGGTAAAGTGAGGATAATAGTACTTTAAGAGGATTGTTCAAATTAAAGGGTTAACACATAAAAATGCTTAGAACAGTGCTGGGCACATAGTAATGCTTGATAAATGTTGGTTATTATTTTATTTTGTAAATGTTACAAGATAAACTTATATAATCATGAAACTTACACGGCTTATTATGTCCCAGGTACTGTTTTAAGAACATTACAAATATTAACTCATTAATGCTCATAACAGTCCTAAATGATAGGTGCTATTTTTGTCCCTGTTATGGAGATAAGGACACTGAGGCCCAGAGAAGTTAAGTGACTTGCCCGAGGGCACACAGCCTATCATGGTGGGATTTGAATACAGGTGGCCTGGAATGCAGTCCGTGCCTCTGCCTCCTTGTGGTTATTCTTACCTGTCCTCTCTGAAAGGTGAAGGTGAAGTGAATGTCAGAGGTGGAACGCCTAACTCTCAGCCAGGGCACTTTCCAACAGAACCCTCACTCAGACTGCACAGCTTTCAAATCTAAAAATTTGAGGCCAAAATGAACCTAGAGTTACTTGTGTAATCCTCTCCTTTGCCATTAAGCCACCAAAAAATGCATCAGTTTGTTATCAGGAAGACACATCTTCCTTTACCATCAGCACCCATAATTCCACCATCAGACCCCAGTACAAACGAAGACCCAACCAGGAAGGGACACCTAGCAAGCCCCTGATCCCTCAGTGAGAACCATCTGCCAGATTCCTGTCGGCTCTGAGGGAACCCTTGCGGTGAAGAAGGAAGGGAGAGGCCAAGGCTGCAGGCCTTCTAGGCTGCCTCTGTTTCTGGTCCTCTAAGCCTCTGTCCCCAGGACTTGTCCCACGTGGCCCCCACCAGGCATTAATACTTGTTTTACTCGCTTTCTTCAGAGCATCCACAAGAACCTAGAAGCAAAGATAGCCCGCTTCCATCAGCGGGAGGACGCCATCCTCTATCCCAGCTGTTTTGACGCCAATGCTGGCCTCTTTGAGGTGTGAGGGGGCCGTCGGTGGGGTTGGTGAGGCTGCCAGCCTGTGGAAGGCTTGGGAGTGGGCAATTAGAGGAACCTGGTAGGATGCCAGCACTGTGCCTGGGGGCTCCAGTGCCCGTTTCTTATGGAGGTCAAGGTTGGCCCAGGCAGGTGCTGCAAGAGGAACCTGGGGCGTGCAAGGATGCCGGCTGCCTGGGCATTTTGGGGGTAACCTACATCAGCTGGAAGGCTGGGGATGGCAGGGGCCAGGCACTCACCAAACATGTCCTTGCCTGCTCTCCCTAGAGCAGGACGCTGGTCCAGGCCAGTCCTGGGCTCTGGGGACCCAGGTCAAGGCAGAGTGCTCCTTGCCTCCCTGCCCAGAGGAACACCCTGGCTGGCAGTGAAATTTGGACTCAGATGGAGTTGTGGGGAGGGACAACCCCAAGGTGGTTGAGTGATGGCTCTACTCCAACTGCCTTCCTCCAGGCCCTGCTGACCCCGGAGGATGCCGTCTTGTCGGACGAGCTGAACCATGCCTCCATCATCGATGGCATCCGCCTGTGCAAGGCCCACAAGTACCGCTACCGCCACCTGGACATGGCCGATCTGGAGGCCAAGCTGCAGGAGGCCCAGGTGGGGCAAGACCCAGGGTCTCAGGGGTGAGGACTGGGCTCACCCGCAGCCTTCCCCCTGCTGAACGAAGTGGGGCTTGGAGAGGCCAACTCCTCACTCAGACAAACACCCTGAAAGTTTGAAACAGCCAAGATTTGAACCCAGATCCCTCAGACTCAAAGTTTTATTCCATTGCACCATGCTGCCTTGAGTTTTAGCAAGCACCTTATGTGTGGCAGGCCCCTGTGAGGCATAGCAGTGAGGTGATCTTATGGCTAGAACTGGCCCTGCCTCACCCTGCCCTCTGGGAGAGGAGACAGAGCATTCTCACTGCCCAGGGCTAAGTGTGGCTCCAGACTGCCCTGGAAGAGATGGGTAAAGGGAGAGAATGTTCCAGCCCCAACACAGTGGTGCTTATGAGCCCGCCTCTGTGCTGGGCACTGGGCAAGGTGAGCTCTTGGAGCCCCCGGCAGCACAGAGGGTGGGTGGTTTGGCCCAACTCGTGACACCAGCCACCACCTGTCCGTGTCTTCCCTGCAGAAGCATCGGCTGCGCCTAGTGGCCACTGATGGAGTCTTTTCCATGGATGGGGACATTGCACCCCTGGAGGAGATCTGCTGCCTCGCCTCTCGATATGGTGCTCTGGTCTTTGTGGATGAATGCCATGCCACTGGCTTCCTGGGGGCCACAGGACGGTGGGAGCACCTGACACCTTAGGCCTTGGGTCGGGCTTCTAA